TATATTTATACTTCTGCAGAAGGCAAACCTTGCTTTCTAAGCTGATTATTTTATCAAATCCTCTCCACAATTTATGAAAAAGACCAGAAATCCCTAAAATTTAGTTTTGCTTTAGAATAATAAACTAGTGGCACGTTAATCATAAGGAAGCTTAGGTGTCTAACTGAAACTCCTTAGACTCTGTAGTCAGTAGGGATAATATCTCCTCAAACTTATAATGTCTTCTGGAGGTACCTGCTTTTCTTTTCAGTGACAGTTGAGAGGTGAGATGATGGCTTTGATTTAGAAAACTAATTTATAAACAATTAAACTAAGCTAGAAGTATCAAAATGCAAATCTTCATCTCAATTTTCTATAACTTCAGTGACAGAAAGGTAAAATGATAGTTGAAATTATTCTTTCTACTTTAACTGAACTTCAAAGATAGGAGCAGCCTGAATCTGTAAGGGCAAACTATGCAGTCTCATGTCTCACAAGGCAAAACTCTCTTCAAACACCTTTTCTCCTTTTCATCCTCACCATAAATCACTGCCTGAGCTTAAATATACATTGTCTTCTTTTCACAATTTTAGCATCTTACATAAGGAGACATATCAGACGCTGCAGATTCAGCTGCATAAAAGATGGCTTGCCACAGCTCATCTGAAATGTTGACGATGAAAGGTACACTTTGCTCTGACTTTCGGATGGACAAAAGTTCATACAGGGAAAAGAAGAAAACTATTAAATGGCACATACAGAGCAACCTGAACATTGATTATTTTAAGCCTATTCTAGTGCAGCTTTACCAAGGAGAAAATGTGTTGCGTAAAGGTGAAGAAATTTGCAAACTGCCATTAAAAGGCTGTGTTTGACATAACCACAGTTCAGTGAAGCATTTTGCACAATACTACAATAATCTTTGTGTAATATAGCATAAATGTTCTGTTAAAGTAGGACAAGTCAGTCTGCAAGCTCTTTTTTCATGTCAGTATGAGAACAGAAAATAGGTTTTACCTATACAAAAACAGGGATGATTTTGCTTGATTTTGCTTAGGTTCTCATTTAAATGATGATAAATCTTAAGCTACTTTCCTTCTCACATGGCAAACATATTTTTATCTTATTTTTAGTTTTTATAAGTGAGTTTTTGAGAGTTTGACAATACAGTCTGAAATTAAAGAATCCTTTTAGAGTCCAGCTTCACCTTCTGTGCCAAAATAATGGAAAAGTTTGCACCTTCTTGCTCTGAATATGTGTATGGAGATGTGACTATCACAACAGATTTCTTTATTATTTTTGTCTGCTTGATGTCGTGAAACTAGACATTCTGTCTTGAAGCACTAGAAAATCCAGGAAATGGATTAAAGTCCATTTATTATTTATTATTACAATGATGAAAGTACAATGGAAATAATATGAGCAATTTAAGATGAGTGAAATTACTCCCATGGGTGGTAGTAGGAGATAGTAGAAAAATTGTCCCAAAATATAATAAAAAAGGATCAAATAGTTATAAATATAATCCAGAAACATTGGGTATCAGAAAGAAAACAACTAGATTGCCAAGGAAGTTTTGCATATTATTTATTTTTGTAAATACTTTTGTATCTTACTTTTGTATCTAAAGAGAAAATGATCCTTTGGACATAATATTTTATACTTGGGATGCAAAGAGACATCCACCAACAAAATACACAAGAGTGCTTTGCAAATACTGTAAGAACTACATGTTTCCTAAGAGCAGCAGCTAAAAATGAAAGCAATGAAATCAAAGTACGTGAAGATTGCATTTCTGAGAAGCAATTGTTTTCTTAGGAAGCCTGCTGACCACTCAGGGAGCAGAGTGACATGAAAACAAAATGTATTTATATAATTTCTGCGAAATATGTGGGTCAGTCAGAAACAAAAGCAGTCATATTACACTTAAACGTAAGCTATAAAACATGTTCTGTTACAGGAACTCCCCCATTTGCTAAGGCAGATAGTTGCTTAGGTGATGATTTTTCATTCCTTTTAGAGTTTTGGATGTCTGGTCTGAATAAAGAAAAAAATCAAGCCTCAGGTAGATGGAAAAAATTAAAGGCAGATCTTTAAAGAATTTAGATAATTAGAAAGATAAAACCAGCTCAAGGTTAAAATGCTGACTTCAGGAGTATGTTACCTACAGTTTTAGCACAGGCTTAGTTTTGCCAGACACGCTAAAGATTTTAGAAGCAGTAAACGAGAGAGCAGCTACAATGAGTTGAGTTCTGTCAGGGGACAGATGATGAGCGAGTCGAGAGTCTGTGGGTGAGAATTAAGGGGCAGGCTGGCAGGGGCGATACTGTTGTGGGGGTCTGTTACAGGCCACCAGATCAGGGTGAGGAAGTTGATGAGGCCTTCTACAGGCAGCTGAGAGCGGCCTCACAGTCACAGGCCGTGGTCGTCGTGGGGGATTTTAACTTCCCTGATGTTTGCTGGAAGGACTACTCGGCAACCCAGCCGCAGTCCAGGAGGTTCCTCCAGTGTATGGATGATAACTTCCTCATGCAAATGGTGGATGAGCCAACCAGGAGAGGTGCGCTGCTGGATCTCATCCTCACTAACAAGGAGGGTCTGGTTGAAGGTGTGAAGGTTGAGGGCTGCCTTGGTTGCAGCGGCCACGAGATGGTAGAATTCAGGATCTTGTGTGGTACGGTCAGTAGAATAGCAAGTAGAATCGCAACCCTGGACTTTAGCAGGGCAAACTTTGGCCTCTTCAAGCGATTGCTAGGGGAAATCCAGTGGGCTAGGCTGCTTGAAGGGAAAGGGGCCCAAGATAGTTGGTTGACGTTCAAGGACTGCTTTTTCCGAGCTCAAGATTGGAGCATCCCGACACGTAGGAAGTCAAGGAAGAGGGTCAGGAGACCTGCGTGGCTAAATAGGGAATTGCTCGGTATGCTCAAGTGGAAGAGGAGAGTTTACAGGTCATGGAAGGAAGGGCTGGCCACTTGGGAAGAATATACATGGCAGGTAAAACTAACACCAGAGGCAATGTAGGCCCGCTGATGAACGGGACTGGTGCCCTGGTGACAGAAGATACAGAGATGGCAGAGTTACTGAATGACTTCTTTGTCTCTGTCTACTCTGCCGGAGGCAGTCCTGAAGAGCCCTGTACCGCTGAGACCTCGGATGAAGATAGGTCAACGGAGCGGTCTGCCTTAGTCGATGAGGAATGGGTTAAAGACCAGTTGAGCAATCTGGATATCCATAAATCCATGGGTCCAGATGGGATGCACCCGTGGGTGCTGAGGGAACTGGCTGAGGTCATTGCTAGACCGCTCTCCATCATCCTTACCAAGTCTTGGGAAACGGGAGAGGTGCCTGAGGACTGGAGGAAAGCAAATGTCACTCCTGTCTTCAAAAAGGGCAAGAAGGAGGACCCGGGTAACTATAGACCGGTTAGCCTCACCTCCGTTCCTGGGAAAGTGATGGAACACCTTATCCTTGGTGCCATCTTAAGGCATATCAAGGATAAGAGGGTTATGAGGGGCAGTCAACATGGCTTCACCAAGGGGAAGTCGTGCTTGACCAATCTTGTAGCCTTTTATGAGGAAATAACACAGTGGATGGATGATGGCAGAGCGGTGGATGTGGTCTACCTTGACTTCAGCAAAGCGTTTGACACGGTCTCCCACAGCATCCTTGCGGCTAAATTGAGGAAGTGTGGTCTGGATGATCGGGTAGTGAGGTGGACTGTGAACTGGCTGAAGGAGAGAAGCCAGAGAGTTGTAGTCTATGGGGCGGAGTCTAGTTGGAGGCCTGTATCTAGTGGAGTGCCTCAAGGGTCGGTACTGGGACCAGTATTATTTAATATATTCATCAACGATTTAGATGAGGGAATTGAGTGTACTATCAGCAAGTTTGCTGATGACACTAAGCTGGGAGGGGTGGCCGACACGCCAGAAGGCTGTGCTGCCATCCAGAGGGACCTGGACAGGCTGGAGAGCTGGGCGGGGAATAACTTGATGAAATATAACAAGGGAAAGTGTAGAGTCCTGCATCTGGGCAGGAACAACCCCAGGTTCCAGTATAGGCTGGGGAACGACCTGTTAGAGAGCAGTGTAGGGGAGAGGGACCTGGGGGTCCTGGTGGACGACAGGGTGACCATGAGCCGACACTCTGCCCTTGTGGCCAAGAAGGCCAATGGCATCCTGGGGTGTATTAGAAGGGGGGTGGTTAGTAGGTCGAGAGAGGTCCTCCTTCCCCTCTACTCTGCCCTGGTGAGACCTCATCTGGAATATTGTGTCCAGTTCTGGGCCCCTCAGTTTAAAAAGGACAGGGACCTGCTGGAGAGAGTCCAGCGCAGGGCAACTAAGATGATTAAGGGAGTGGAGCATCTCCCTTATGAGGAAAGACTGAGGGAGCTGGGTCTCTATAGTTTGGAGAAGAGGAGATTGAGGGGTGACCTTATTAGTGTATATAAATATATAAAGGGGGAGTGTCACGAGGATGGAGCCAGGCTCTTCTCAGTGGCAAACAATGAAAGGACAAGGGGTAATGGATACAAATTGGAGCACAAGAGGTTCCACTTAAACCTGAGAAGAAACTTCTTCTCAGTGAGGGTGACGGAACACTGGAACAGGCTGCCCAGGGAGGTTGTGGAATCTCCTTGTTTGGAGACATTCAAAACCCGCCTGGACACGTTCCTGTGTAACCTTATCTAGGTGTTCCTGCTCCGGCAGGGGGATTGGACTAGATGATCTTTTGAGGTCCCTTCCAATCTCTAACATACTGTGATACTGTGAAACAAGCTAAAAAAAACCTGACGTTTTCTGAGGTAGCAGTGCAAATAACAGAATATTTTGGTACTTTTCCTTTGTCATAAAGCTGTCCTATAACAGGGAAGTATACAAAGTGAATAGGAATTGGCATAAGTATCATATATGATGTGGTTTTGTTCCAGTTAGTTTGAAGAGTAGCTCATTGCATATTTACTGCAGAGACAATAAGCACTGAGCCTGCACTGTTAGTGCAGTGGAGGAACAAGCTGTTTCATTTCACAGCTTGGCCAAGTCATTTATAGCCCATAAAAAATTACTTAACACATGGTGGCATATGTAACTCTATAAATCTTTCTCGGAGAAGGAGGTGGAAGATGGCATTTGTATACACAAATATATCCATACACATACTCAGGCTAACGCAATATGTTAGCACTCTTTTGTGCTAAAAACCTAGTAGGCACACTATCATGGTAACTGAAGATGAAAATTTTTGGTAAGAACCTGCCTATTCATTTCTCACATTATGTTTTGCAGATCCCCCCTCAGATTTATACTGCAGTTCTGAGGCTCTTCAGTGAAATATGCTTGAAGTCTTGCTCATACCTCCCTGGAACTACACACTGGTGAGCACAGTCGTGTGTGCTGCACAGCTTGCCTACCACAGCAGATGCTTCTGCACTGACTGTTCATGTGGAAGACAGGTAATGCTATTATATTAATGGATTTTATTTTGCATACTTACATTACCTAATACAGTAGTAGAAGCCCACTGTTGTGATACTGTTTCTCTCTCATTAAATAAGAATGATTATTGAAATAATTGTTGCTAATAAGACTACCAAGTATAAGAGTATGAGAAATTGCCTATACAGTGTGATAGTAAGAGCTGTGATAATTCTAGCAAAGCTCATTGTGTCTAATACATGAAAGAAAGACAGGTCTTTCAGGACCAGCAGAGTGTTTTGTGGCTGGCTGTAAAGAACCTAGGAAATTTTAGCATAAAAATGAATACTTATAATTAATACTGGAATTCAACTACCTGCATAATCTGTCCAACAGAGCAATGAGGGATGATCCTTTCCATTAATCAGGATAAACATGGAATCAGCTCAGTCAAAACTGGAAAAATATGCTCACCCAAATTTTGCTCATAAGGGATGGACAGAAATATTATGCAGAATATTTCAAAGTATTATGCAGAATATTCCAAAGTATTATGCAGAATTCAGAGTTCTACAGTCTCTACAGGGCTGATGCCTGGAAGCATTGCTTACAGTAATGTGGAGATGGAGACGGTTCTTGAAGTTGTTACCACTTTGGAGAAATACCAATTTACCATTCAGCTCCTGCCCAGAGGGTCCTGTTAAATGCTTTTGGGTTGGTTTTTTTTGCTGTGTTTTTGTTTGTTTGTTTGTTTTTGTTTGGTTTGGTTTGTTAGGGGTCTTTTGGGTTTTTTTGTTTTTTTTTTTTTAAGTTTATAACCTTCCATTGGAAGTCTTTATAGTCTAAAGTACCTGCTTTTCATTGAAATACATACTTGACATTTTCCCTCTCATTCAGCTCTCAGCCATGTCATTATTCTTTATTTCATGCAATGCTGATGACCTCAAACTGCTATAGCAGACATATCCTAAAGTTGGTATTTCATCGCACTGTTGAACTGATGTGTGTGGTTAAAGTCCACAGAGATACATTTGAATAAGGAATAACATATAAAGACCTAGAACAGAAGAAAAAAATACAGGGATAGTACAGCATTTATGCAAATGCACTCATAGGACTTTGTGGTGAAGACTGAAATGATGGAAAGAAATAGAGAAAGGGAAAGGATACTCCTATTTACAGCGTTCATGAACTAGAGAGAAACCTGTTAAGTAAATGGAATTATATATCACTTAAAAACCAATGGTGAAGCTGAAAATGATAAATCCATGTTCCAAGTAACTAAACAAATCTATAGAAGAAGTCTCAAACTTCTATTGGAGTGAAAATGTCAGTAATGCTCCTAAGATACTGAACTTTTCTGGGGAATGGAGGAGATGATAAGGGAAGTCCTCTTATGGAGAAAGGAGTGCTGGAAATTACAGATTTTAGAGAAACAGAAGGGCCTAATTTTCAGTAATGGGAGGATGTGATAGGTTGATGGAAGATATGCAAAGGGAAAAAGTTTTATAGTCCAAGACTGAAAATTTTCCAATGTGATGATGATCTAAAACATTTATTTGGGCTCTTTGAGAGTGCAAAAAAAGTCAGAGACTGATTCCTGGAAATGTTAATATCTCAGGTGCTGAAACCTATCCCTGGTGCCACATAGAAGTACTCAATACCCTGTTCTTAGAGCTGAGAGTGTCCCAAGTAAGGAGTCTTGAGGCTATGATGGGTTTGCTTTCACCTAGATTTGGCAGCAATTCCACCTGCAACTGGGAAACATTTCTGATGAAGTTTTGCCTAAACTATGTGCCCAAGAAAAAGTGAATTAGAAAACACACATGTATTTGTATTTAAATATGTCTGTCAGGCTAGCAGGCTTAGAAACTCCCCCTAAATTTTATGAAGTCACTGAAGCAAATGCCATCTATTTGTAGATATACACCCCCCCCCCCCAACTCTTTTGTCATTAAAGATTTCTTTCTGTTCCTGGATTGTATATTCATGGTACATAATTGTATAATTAACTGAAGCTTTTTAATAATGGATACAAAGGAATATCTCATAGCGAGCTAATGCTCTGGCAGCTCCTGTAGATATACTTTCTGGCAACTGTCTTTAAATAGAAACGAAGCTTTTTTTCTCTCTCCTGCTATAGTACAGAGAGACTGCTTTGAGACTGCTCACAGATTTTATGAAGTCAACACTCATGATTTTATCAAGAATTGCTGAGATTTTGTACCTGCCTTTTGGAGATGACTGTTGAAATCTTGATTGTAATTTATATTCAAAAATTAGATCTGTGCATATAGGAATTGAAAGTAGGGCTTTTCAAGATCTCACAGACTGAAACTGCCACACAGATTCTTTGCACATAATGATTTAAAACTTGTCTTGTGGATATTGAAATGTAAAATACCTGGGACCTGGAAAAAAATTAATATTATTATTGTATATTGATTATATAATAAAGCATGGCAAACATTATATTTGTGATCATTATCCATTAATATGATTCCAATGCCTGCAGAAATTACACAGGCTCTTTTTACAGTTTAAATCCTTTTAGAACAGAAAGTAAAAAGGTTTTTTTCAACTAAAAATGAAGAGAGAAATACATCATATGTATTCTCCTCGATTTGGAAGGTCAGAAAAACATTAACACCTGTAGAAAATCTTAGAAATAATTTCAGCTGCCTAATGTGTATGATGAATATTAAATGATTGAAGACAGTGAAAAATTCATAGTCTCTGAAAACTAGTCAGCAGTTCTCATTAGTGTTTGACATTATTTAGTGACTTCAACAGATGTTCACTGAGTTTGCAACAAATGCAATTGAACACTGATGACATAATAATAAAAATAAAAATAGAAATATTATTTAAGTATACAAATACTGACATATAGGTACAAGTATAGATTAGCTCAGTAACAGTAACAAAGTCACTAAAGATCATTTCAGATTATGATCTGTCATAAAGTGTTTTCCTAAAAGTCTACATGCCAGCATTTTCAGTAGTAGCGAATATGACTGAACCTGAATTAATTTCTGCCAAATTCAAAGTAAAATGTCTGGATTCATCATGTAAAATTGGCTTTCATTTGCTTCCCTGAGAGCAGTATCGAGCTGCCCATCTGATTTGGAAAATACCACATATATAAAAACTTTACTACTCTGCTCAGTTTAATGGACTTACTGACTGAGGTGGTAGTGCTTATTATTTCTGTAAAGTAATTATCATTGTGAAAGACAAGGCTACATGGCTGAAGAACCTGAAGACCACTTTTTATCTTTGAGCTATTTCAGCACAATTTCTCCCTGTTTATGACCACACGTATGAGAAGTGTCCTTTTGCATGGGGGTTTACAAGCAAATCTTGGGGATACACTGCTGAACTGCAAGTCTTTGCATGCTGTTATATTTGTGTTCCTCTCAGTGATGAATCCACATGATCTCTGCATTGGTAGGTCTTCCAAAGAGAGAAAGATTTGATTTATCAGTCAGATATATAAATTTTACTATCTTCCTATCTGAAATTTGAGGATATGTATAGAACATGACTCAGGTCAACACTGTTTTTAACTTCTTTTACAATTTTTGTTTCTCCTTACTTATATAGTTTGGCATTGTCCATTATACCTATGTGGGAGACTGCAGACTTGATCCTGAAATGGCTTGCTAGAAATCTAATTAATCTCTGCAAGACACTCAACTTCAAATTCTGAAATAAAATTCATACAATACAGCTCACCTGAGTAACAGATACAGGCCTCTAAATAGAAATAAAGTGCCCATTATGCTGCCTGTTAATAGTAATCTGATTTCACAGTATCACAGTATGTTAGAGATTGGAAGGGACCTCAAAAGATCATCTAGTCCAATCCCCCTGCCGGAGCAGGAGCGCCTAGATAAGGTTACACAGGAACGTGTCCAGGCGGGTTTTGAATATCTCCAAAGAAGGAGATTCCACAACCTCCCTGGGCAGCCTGTTCCAGTGTTCCATCACCCTCACTGAGAAGAAGTTTCTTCTCAGGTTTAAGTGGAACCTCTTGTGCTCCAATTTGTACCCATTACCCCTTGTCCTTTCATTGTTTGCCACTGAGAAGAGCCTGGCTCCATCCTCGTGACACTCCCCCTTTATATATTTATATACACTAATAAGGTCACCCCTCAATCTCCTCTTCTCCAAACTATAGAGACCCAGCTCCCTCAGTCTTTCCTCATAAGGGAGATGCTCCACTCCCTTAATCATCTTAGTTGCCCTGCGCTGGACTCTCTCCAGCAGGTCCCTGTCCTTCTTAAACTGAGGGGCCCAGAACTGGACACAATATTCCAGATGAGGTCTCACCAGGGCTGAGTAGAGGGGAAGGAGAACCTCTCTCGACCTACTAACCACCCCCCTTCTAATACACCCCAGGATGCCATTGGCCTTCTTGGCCACAAGGGCACAGTGTCTGCTCATGGTCACCCTGTCGTCCACCAGGACCCCCAGGTCCCTCTCCCCTACACTGCTCTCTAACAGGTCGTTCCCCAATCTATACTGGAACCTGGGGTTGTTCCTGCCCAGATGCAGGACTCTACACTTTCCCTTGTTATATTTCATCAAGTTATTCCCCGCCCAACTCTCCAGCCTGTCCAGGTCTCTCTGGATGGCAGCACAGCCTTCTGGCGTGTCGGCCACTCCTCCCAGCTTAGTGTCATCAGCAAACTTGCTGATAGTACACTCAATTCCCTCATCTAAATCATTGATGAATATATTAAATAATACTGGTCCCAGTACCGACCCTTGAGGCACTCCACTAGATACAGGCCTCCAACTAGACTCCGCCCCATAGACTACAGCTCTCTGGCTTCTCTCCTTCAAAATCTTCTATCAAAATAATAAAAATAGCTATCTCAGGCCTTTTGTGATACATACTCTCAACAGCTTGCACAAACTGACTCTTGTGATATTTTGTTTTGCTTCCCTAAGTAACAGTAATACCAGTGGTTGTTATCAAAAGACAAAATTAAAAAAAGATAGTACCATTGTTATTAGTTTAGCATTAACT